TGTTTACATACGTAAAACACAGGTTTCCGGCGGAGTCCGGAGTCCGTGCTTATACACAATGCTTGCGTCGAAAATAGTTTTTCAACGTACACGAGGGTCCGCGTTTCACGACATGTGGCGGAGTGTGGGTCGCCAGTGCGTAGGTTTCTATGTACATAGTATATTGTATATACAGTGGCGAGAATATAAATAGGGAAAGTCCTTAATTTATATCTACATATATATAGAGAGAAACAATGTTTATATTATTTGGATATACAGATATATGCGAAATGTGTATTTTAATACTATACTGTAAAAATGATAAATGGTGAAAAATATAAACTTACATATGTTATACGTAACACGTATTTGATTTGATACGGGTTTCTTTGGATCTCAGTAAAATAATTCAATTGTTCGTTTCCATTAAAAAGATATATTCAAACATTTTTTTATATTTTTCAAATTAGTAAGAAGCGCGTATTTCTTTCTTGAAATACCAATCTCTGACTAGGTCATTTTTGATCAAATCGAGTCAGTGATACAATAACCTCAATTGACACAGTTACAATGCGTAATAAAAGTTAAGTATATTCGTATCTACATTAATAAATTGATCATTTTGAGTCAAAAACTGTTACATATTGACGATCATTTATAAATTTATTCGTCATCTTGTATTATTTCCTATCGAAATGTCGTTGAACGTGATCGATACGCGAGTCGAGAAATCGAAGAAACCATTGGCAAATAGCGAACGAGCAAAGCGTTGTAAAATGGTAGCTGGACGACGCGAGTTCGCAAACAGATGCACAATCAGAATTCCCGGCTAGCGGGTGATTTCACGTAAAGCGAATGTGGTAATACCGGCTATAAATTTCCATTCCGCAGGCCGTACAATTACGCTGGAATTGCTAACGAACTCTTCTCGAATAAAGTTGAAGTGAAGAAACGCGTTAAGGGTGCAAATACATTCGTGAATCTGGTACTTCGCTAGTGGACGCAACGTTCGGAATAGTTATCCCCGCAATAAAAGTTAGATTAAGCTTACATTTGCAGATAAGCGAATATATTTGGGTATAAAATTTTTAAAAAATATTCTCTATAATTGCGTTTTGAATGACTATTTGAGAAATTAGTAATTGAATAGTGAAAGTTAGATTAGGTTATATTTCAGTGTAAAAGATTATATTTGAAAGTTAGGTTAGACGAATATATTTGAGTGTAAAATTCTCAAAAGTGTTTCTCGTATAAATGGACACTGTGTTGAGAGGGAATTCATTCATTCAAGTAAATTTATTGAACAGTGAAAGTTAGGTTAGGTGTAGAATCAAAAATTATTTTTTGTTATTGAAAACTTTATTGAAAATAGAATTTGATCAAAATAATAAATTTTATTGTGAATACTACATTAAGAATGACTATTCGATGGCAATTTTCACTGTTTGATCGTAACTTTGTCAGTCTCAATACCAGCCACTTGCGGAGAATAGTCTCGACAGCAACTCTCGAGAGTTTTACTCTCAAATGTTATTCGCACCCTAACGTGCTGAGAGCAAACGAATCGAATCCACGACAACTATCACGACGACGACGGCGATGGCGACAGCGAGTGGGTGGTTGGGCGAAGATCCCGGCCATATGGTGTCCACATTCCATTTCTCCTGCACCGACGATATCTGCGTGTTTGCTCTCTCGTTCTGCCAGCTTACCTCCCGCCTTGCGAATATCTTTGTAATTGAAAAAAATTTTGTTCCTTGCATTTTTTCCCTCTCTTTTCAACATCGATAATATTTTACTTCGATGATTCTATCGTTTGATTATCAAATAGAACCGATCCCCTATATCTTCGAATATCTCTTAAGTGGAACTATTTATCGACAGAGTTTATGGTTCAACCAATCGAAAATCAAATAATGCATCGATCGATAAATATCTTAAATCGATTATTCCCAGATTTCTAATCTATATTTTTTTTTTCCTCTTTTTTTATCAGAAAAAGAGTATCTATGATATCCTCATTCATTCTACTGTTTCCTTAATCACATTTATAGAAAATTTTCTTTAAATATATTCAATATTAATTACTATTTATCCGTCAATTATGTTGTTCCAGAATTTGATATTGCGTTACACGTTATTACAATTTTCCCGCAAATGTTCAAGTGCAAATCAATCAACGAAAAGTCAAAGAAAATACAGGAAGGTTATGCAAATTAGGACGAGAGGAAGATGATAATTTAACACTCGGTAGCGGGAAGCAACGTAGTCGAGAGAGCAGGTGATTGATTATCTTTCTCTAGCGATCTGAGGTACTCGAGGGTTAATCACCGTCGTAAATCATCCAACCTGGTGCTTTTTCTATACAACCCGGGATACCTTTCCCTCAATGATTTTATTGCGCTTTAAATTTGAAACCGATCCCGGGTATAAAGGTAACATAGACCGGCGCTGGTGTTTGCAGGTACGGGAACAGGTAACACAAGGTGGCAGAAAAGCAAAGGGAACGAGAGAAAGAAGGGGATCGTAGCGTTCCATTGTCTTCCATTCCCTTGCCATCCTCCCTTCTCGTCCTTCCCTTGCCTTTTGTAAGAAAATGACTCGTTTCTCGGGTTCCTCGAAATTTCTTTCTGTAACCTGGTGTCACTGTAAACGACCTTTGTTGTATATTCACCTCTGAGGTAGAGAGTAGTAATGGGACCAAGTAAGAGTTGGGGGAAAATTTGAAACTGTTTCAGGCGAAACATTAAAAATTCGAATATTTCTAATTGGCGGGAAATTCAAAAAGTGGAGTAACAACGTCGTTGTTAACAAACGGAAGCGATTTTTATCAATTAAGGACAATATTTTACAATGCAAATATTCTACGATCGAAAATTATTTATTACCAAATTACAAAAACGAAATTATCTATTTATAATTTGGAACGAAGACGATTCTCTTGTCGACGGATGATAATAATTTCAATTATAAACAACTAAAGTAACTGTACGTAATGAAATTAGAACAAGAACTCTCGAGAATTTTTCTCTTGGTAAAACTTACACGCGAAGTCTATTACGGTTACTTGGTCGATATATCGATCAATCTGTACTACCAACAAATTAAAATGCAAAAAAAGTAGTAACATTATCTATTAAACTGACCAACTTTTTGTTTTTAATATTGATCGATATTAAGTTCAATCCTATGATATAATTAACACACAATGCAATTTAATTTAATTTATACAATTAACTTATAAGCAATATCATAATCCAACTTCAATAAGAAATTGCAACGATAATTACACGTTTAGTTCGGCAGAATAGATTTCACTCCGAAGATAAAACTGTCGCAAGCGGAGCGTAACAATCCAAAAAAAAAAAAAGTCCCTAGATGGATGGAATTTCGTTGAATCGGAAAAAGGAAAGTTTGCCGAGTTTTTAGGGCGAAGTAAACGTGTAGTACGTTTCAGGGAAAACCGGATGCATCTGTCTCCTCGTGGCTGGGTCCATAGTCGATTCCTCGCCTCTCCCTCCCCCCTCCCCACCGAAAAGTCCTCGTCGTAGCCTTCCTCCTCCTCCTCCCTCTCTCTCTCTCTCTCTCTCTCTCTCTCTCTCTCTGCTTCCCCCTCCCCTACTCTGGTCATATTTTCGGGCTATTTCCTTTCGTAATCAATTTCGAAAGTGTTGTTCGACGCTCCCGTGGGCAAAAAGATGGGAGATAATCGAGCGGGAATGCCACCAAGGGGGAATAAATAATCGGATGCGGCGAGTTTGCCGAGCGACGCTTAAAAATATGCCAGCACTGAATCGCGGAGAGATGCTCTGGTGCATCTTGAATATACGAGTGTATGCACACGTGCATGCATGCATGTTGCGTGGGCGCAGTCTGAAGGATATCCGGTGTTGCTCTCGCTCCTTCCTTTCTCTCTCTCTCTCTCTCTCTCTCTCTCTCTCTCTCTCTCTCTCTCTCTCTCTCTCTCGTTTACTTCCAATCTGTTCTTGAAACATTATTTCGAGATTTTCTCATCGTTTATTAATTATTAGTATTTTTCTTGTGTCAATATCGATAAAATTTTTGGTATTATTCAATTTTTGGTTTTAAAATATATATATGTATATATATATATGGTGTGATACGAAAGAAAGATAATTCGTATTGAATTGTCAAATAATGAGTTGAGAATGGAGAATAAAATTTTTGATGCATGACATATGATTTTTACATTTTTGAAAAGAAAAATTTTTTATTAGGTTAGATTTCAATCTACTAGTATCTACTAGTATTTCTGTTTGTTAAAATCTTGAAATAATTTATTTTGGAAGAATCAGTCGTAACGAATTAAGAGATTTAATTTAATTCAAGCGTTTGAAATAGAAAAAAAATTTCTTATTTCGAAAATTTCAAAATTTTTTGAACGAGTTTTTAAATGAATAAATTTTATTCTACATTTTTTTATATTGATAAAATCAGTTTTTTTATATCTTCGTACTATTGAAAAATTTTTCAATTCGAATTTAATTAACTCGAATCCCTCTTTTTTGTTATCATTTGTCTTTCCATTTTTAATGAAATTGTAAATCGATGACGAATATGGCAAATAATAATAATTCCATTATAGTTTTAAAAATCATTTAAAAAATATTTCGTGTTATAAAAAAAAAAAGATCGATATATTTAAAAAATTATTTTAAATATTATTTATTAAATTGCCATATACAATATTAATGTGAAATTATCAAATTGCTATGGCACAGTAATGAAATTACTATATATATATATATATTAGGAAAAAGTTATCTAGGGGAAAAAAGAAAAGACCCTAGCCGATAGGTCGCCTCTTTACAACTAAATTCCCTGGGAATCGTAGAAATCGTAAAAAAAAACGTGTCTGGCGCAAAATTAAAATTTAATAATCCGGGTAAGCTGTCGTCGCGATAAGAATTTATAGTGACGGTCGATTTATAGCCGATTTGTTATCTGAGATTTACGATCGTATTAAGGTACTATATAACGATTAATTCCTACGTTAGCAAGAAGTTTCTCCGCGCCGCTACTACTTTGCATGCGAAGTCAAAACAGCTTCCGACGACCAACTCTCTCTCCGTTTGGCTGGCAAGGGAAGTTGAACAGAGGCCGGCAAACATCTGTCGTAACGTCTTCGCTGCATGGGGCGCGCGTTCCCTGTCAGTTATGACAAAAAGCTGCAACATCCTGGAAAACGGCGGTGCAAGTATGCTTCTTCATTTCCTTATTGTCCCTGGTTGTTTGTTATTTTGCTGTCGCCCCGGCTTTTCTCTGTTTCTCTTCTCTTGTAACTTGAATGATCGATGTTCAATTTTGAATAAGATAAGCTTTTAATACTTTGTAACTTCCTTTTCGTAAAAAAATACGAAAGATAGTTATCGTGTTTGTTTAAATCTCTTTGAGTTATTATTTCTTGAAACGTGAGTTTGCGTGACTCGAATAAATCAATAATATTTATTTGTGATTTAAACATATAATGTTTCTTATTTTTTTATATGAGACTTATGAAAGAGAAAGAGAAGAAAAATACAATGAAAGATTAATATTGATTGTTTTTTTCTTTTTTTTTTTTTACACAATCATCTTTTTTTAACCAATCATTGGCCTGGAATAATTCTTTCAACGATTGCCAACTTTGTTTCTATTACCAACTATTAATTATAAGAAATTATAAAAGATAGACGAAATTAATTGATATTTTGCTATAATAATAATATTGCTATATAATTGCTAATAATTGCTATATAATAATAAATTTTTGTTGCTGATATATTTATTTAAAATATAAAGCTTGAAAAGTATCCAAATATTTTTGTGATTTAAAAAATACGTATATTACAAAATTTAAAAAAAAGTGATCTAATCTTGAGAGAGAAAGAAAAATAATAGAAATAAGTGAAAAACCAATTTTGTTTGTTTAAAATTAATTATCTTTATTATTATTATAAAAATAAATTTAATTAAATAAATAGATAATAATTAAAAAAAATATATTAATAAATGATAAAAAAATAAATGATAATCGATACAATAATTATGATTGATACTCATATATATATAGGTATTAGGTATTATCAAATATATTTGGTTTAAATTAATAATTGAAAAAGACAATATTGTATTTAAAATGCCATCTATATTTTTTTTCTAGATTTAAGTTATAGATCTACGTCTAAACAATCTCATTGATAAAAATATAAAAAAAAATCAGTGTTCATTTATTGTAGTCATTGTAAAAATTATTATTGTTTCTTTCGTTTTGTTATTTCATCTTTATTATTAACAAATTATCATTATTATCATTTATTATAATGAACTCTTTTTACAGTATAGTACAGTAATCTTGCATCCTAGAATAGGTTAGGATCGAAACTGACCAACTTGCAAGGCAGGGTCTTTACCAAGAATTCTGTCTTGGCATGAGATGAATGGTAAGATAGAATGAGACAATATTACTCGCGTTTGTTTTTGTTAGATAAGCTTGTTAAAAGCTATGTTTGATAATTCCACTTCTAAAAAATATGAATAATGATGACCAACTTACGAGACAGAATTCTGATCAGGATGCAAGATTACATGATTTATCGTTAATCTATTATCATTCATTTATTATAATTTATTTTATATATTTTAAATAAAAAAGATAATTAATTTTGAACAGACAATCTTAATTTTCTTTTTTTTTCCACTTTATTGATCTCTCAAAATCGGATCAATTTTCAATAATTCTTTCAATCTATAATTATGTAATCTTTTCAATATATATTTTTGAATTATATAAAAAAATATATAATAGTTTTATTATTAATTGAATTATTATTAATTTCTTCGTGAATTCCATAACATTATAATTATTTTAAAATAGTTAGATTATTATCAGAAAATAGATTATTATCAGAAAAGGTTATAAAGATTTCGAAAGTCTTTGCCAAAGAATTGTGCAGTTTGTTTAAAGTCTGACAACAAAAAGAACGTTTTCATGATGAGCATGTTATAAAATAATTAAAATCGGTTAACGAGCACACTGTCCAAAAATTTGAAATTAGTTTTCTTGTTACAGCTACAATAGTTGAATTTTCTATCAATCTTGTTATTTATTTGAAATTAATGTTAAAAGTATTAATATTTATTCTAAATCTATTATACATAAGAAAATATTTTATCCTGTCAAAATTATAACCTAACTTTTTCTTAAATTATTATTTTCTATGGAATTTTAATTTTAAACTTCTTCAATTCTTGAAAATGGAACTTCGGAACGAGCTTCGAGCATGTTAAATAAGATAAACTGTCTAACAAAACTCGATATCGATTTTTATTGATTATTTCAAGTACATATCGATGACGGCACAGAAGTCACTTATCCAACAAGCATCTGAAGTCGGTACTAAATTGCGTGAAGTGGGCAGCACTTTACCATCGCGGAATCAATTTCATTTTGCTTTCTGTTTTCAGTGAACTGAAAGGACGTCGAACTGAGAAATGATTTCGATAGGAGAAATGCCCCTCTAGTATTGCTGATTTATTGCTTGGAATAGTTTGTGTTTCATAGCAGAATAATTGGATAGGAAGAAAACGTTTTATCATTACGTTGTACGATAATTGCTCGAGAACTGTTGAAGATTTTAATGGAATCCGGCCTTCTTTCTGCGATACGAAACGCACGAGTTTAATCGCTTCTTCCGAAATATAGCTTGTTTTGTTTGGGATGCAGTGTGTGCGCCTGATATTAGATAACTCGTACAAGTTACGACCTCTAGAGAAAGACACGCAACCGATAAGAATCGATCCGGTGGCTTTACCAGTTGGCTCGTCAAACACGATCGTATCCCAAGCGTAGAAATACTATCCCTGTCAAATGGTTTTCGGTTAAATGTAACATTATGAAATTTTACTAAAAAGTATTTTTAATTTTTGGATAAAATATTATTTAAATATTAATTATATAAAAAAAATATAAAAAAAAATTATTTATTATCAAAAACAGTGAAAACTAATTATAAAAAATTAAGAGTACATTATCATTTCAAGTAAATAAAAAATTTCTATCGTAGCAATTATGGTGTACTAAAAACAAAATTAAAGTTTTAAAATATGTCGTTAACTAAGTTAGAAAATATTGTTTTTTTTTTCTTTATACGCGTATCCGTATTACTAAAATATAGATATATTTTAACTATGATTTTTTATCATATTTATGACTATATTATCTACTTTTTGAATTATTTAACATTTTTCTTTCGATCCCACTCTACTTTAGACACGGTAGCTTTATGCATTTCATGCACATACGCAATGTGTTGGTCGTTGAATCGCGCGATCTTGACACAGCGAGAAGTAGAATTCTCATTAAAATAACTTGACGGAGCGGAGATCTAATTTTGTCAGCGTTATGAACGGACGTACCCTGACACGGCCCGTTGAAAGAAAAATATTTTGGATCACCGTCAACTTGCCCGGTCCTGTTAACTTTTAACCGTTTTCCGTGCTTCATTTCGAGGTACGGAGAACGCGCGAAAACGAAACGAGCCAGACTGCGCACTGTTTGCGCGCACCTCTATCTTAACCGAAATTCACATGAACCTCCTTTACGAGCCATTGTGTAATTGGCTTTGCCAGTGGCACGCGAGTCTGCCTTCTCAAAATCGAAAACGCTCGAAATAAACTGGCTGCTTTGACGCTTGCTAACTTAACGCTACCGTGCACGCCATTCCTTTCCCTCGAAAAGTTTTCTTCTTCGTCATTAGAGCAACTTCGCACTTTTTCATCGTATTGACGCATAATTTCGATGAAGGCAATAGCAATTTAGGAAAGTACACTTGGATCTTTCTTATCTTTATATCAACAGCTAAATTTAATAATTAATTTTCAACGTTGAGTTTCTGCTTTCAATAATTAATAAAATTTCAAGTTTGAAACATGAATCGATAATAAATATTGACGAGTTAAATTTAAAAATCTTTTGAAAAAAATTTTAATTTTAATCTTATATTAAGTAAAAAGGGTTAATATAATCTTATGTAAGTAAAAATGATTATTATTATATAGAACATATTCATAGAAAAATTATAAATAGTTGTAAATATTAGAAATTAATAAATTGAAAATTATATTTAGATGTAATTAATTTGCAGATCTTTTGGTTTAAAGGCTGTTTCCGATGGTAGGGATGCGGATCGGAATTTATTTTATATAGAAATTTCTTAGAGCACAGATGTTTGCTCGAAAACGAGCCAAGCCTTCGTCAAAGTTTACTTGGCTGTGCGCTTGCTCGATGTTCGCCCGCTTCGCTTAACGTTCCTGCGCGCTTGTCTTTCTACGCTTCAGTAGCGTATCATCAAATTCGCGGAACCTCGCGTAATGATGATTTTTTTATTAATTTCATTTCTCGATTATTAAAAAATTCATAATATATTTCAAATGATTTCTTTAATCTGTGAATTAAAATATAAATTAATACTAATGACAAATAATGATTCAAATAGATGTGAAAATTTTTCAATAGGAATATACTTGGACATACTGATATAAAATGTAATTTTTTATAATTTAATTTCTCGATTATTAAGATTTCATTAAAATATAATTCATAAAAGTAAAATATACGCTAAAAAAATTTTCCAGTAAAATTTTTCTAAATGGAAAATCATCGACACATAGTGAGAGCGATAAACTGTAATATCGTATGTAGTTTCGAATGGTATCGTTGCCGGCTCGACACTCGAGATACACCAAAGAAACATTACACTTCGATATCGTTTTATCTGCGCTATTTAGTTTTCGTGCGGCACTGCAAGGACCGCGACCCGGAAATACGTTGTTACGCAACTATGATCTACGTTGACACACGATCGGGCAGGTCTGCGCTGCGGATAGATAATACTTGATATAATTTGCTAAAAGATAGCATGAACGTGCCAGACTTGAATCGTTTCCTTTACACGTTGTGCACGCTATATCCGCTATCTAATGTTGATTTTGTCTATTCAATATCTAAACTAAATTACGTAAATTTTAGAATAAGAATCTAATATAAATTTTTTTTTTAATTTTAAAAATGTATTCAATTTTATTAAATTTTAATTTTCAAATAAAAATAAAAAGTTATATATATATTTCTGAAATTAGAATCAAATCTAACTTATTTTTTTAAGCATCGCAAGAAAAAAAAATAAAAATTTTAGTTTTCATATATATTTCGAAATG